AATGGTTATAATTTAATTGTATTATTAATTCGTCATATTGTTTCATTACAACATTTATCATTAAGTATTAGTTATTATGCAGTGAATAAAATTGAATAAATGATAACAAGCATCTTTTATTTGATATTAATAAATCGAGAATACTTTGAATAAGTTGAATATGCATTTTAATGACAAATTGTAACTTTATGATTTTAATATTAGAAAAATAACGAAGAAATACAAGTATATAATCAGTTTTCTCATTACTGTCATCAATGATGAGACCATTCATATGTAATTCAGTTATATGTTTAAAAAAGTAAGTGTTTCTAATATCGAGAAATGATTGTTCGTCAACAACATGACGTATACTCACATCATCTATTTTTAAAATGTAAACATTTGGTAACATATGAGAAAAATGCTCTTCGAATAATTGTTGATTCGGTTGTAAATAATGACAAATAATTGTATTGACATTTGCAAGTACTAACGATGACGCTTTATTAGCCAATCGACAACTGTTAAGATAAAATTTCAAACATTTGATATTTTTAAACATTCTTAATATGTCATCGTGTAATGACCAAAATAAATCGTATGCGTATGGTGTTGCAGAAGAAATAGTTGAATACGATTGAAATATACAATCATCATCATAATCATCATCATCATTTGCTTTGTAATTAAAAATTCCATTCGATATACAATCAATATCATCAAAAACAAAAGATAATGAATAAAGATAAAAATCATTTTCATACCTGTCTGTATAAGATATAATTTTCTGTTTTCGTTTTAATAACCAATAATCGTTTCTAAATGATGATATTATTGAATTATTCTGTTGATTATTATAAGAAAATCGAAAATAAAAGTTAAATTCTATTAAATTTGATAATGGTGATAATAAATCAATTTCCATACACTGACCATTAATAACAGAGTAGTTGGACAAATAACTAATACTTAATGATAAATGTTGTAATGAAACAATATGACGAATTAATAATACAATTAAATTATAACCATTAGACAATAAAACTTGATTAAAATGTAATTTTAAATTAGATAAATGACGTATTTTCATATGAATAGTTTTATAATCGTAATTTATAATTGAATAAACATTAAAATCAAACCATTTCAATTTTATGTTTAATCGTTTAATATGAGGTATAAAATCAAATAAAATTAATAAATGACTGTAAAATTCTAGTTCAATTGTTAAAATTTGTAAAAAACATATTGATAGATACTGGTGATTTTTCAAAGAGAAAACACCATTCCTGATGGAACATTCTTCTAATAAGAAATTAATTTTGTTAAAGAGACATCGAGTCATTTGATTAGATAACGAAATATGATCGTCAATTGTAATAGTTAAACAATATAAATTTTTTACAAATTTTAAATATAACTCTAAATCTTGTTCTTGTCTACAATATAAATGTAAATATTTAAGATTATCAAATGCAACAAGATGTTTTGAAAATAAATAAAGTTGTTCAGTTGAACAATGTTCATAGCCTAATTTCAATGAACGAATAGTCGAAGCAATTAATGGTATTATAGAACAACAATAATAATTAAAAATTTTATATGATGTATATCGAAGATCAATATCATTGGCATAATAATTTGAAAGTAGGTAATTAAATCGTCTATTTTGATTAAAAAATAAATACATTATTTCATGTTGTTTAATATAATCAAAAATTTCTATTAGAATTTCGTTCGGTAACGTTTCAAAAATTGTGATTGACATTCTAAAAGGTGAAATACACTGTGTTTCTTATTTTCATTTGATTCTGTGTTACGTTTCGTCTCATACAACAGAGTAAAATGCTTTGAAGTTTTGGACTAGTTGTGGATTTTAATTTTGTCGAATAAATATATGAAGTGTCGAGGAAAGTGACTACTCAAAACAATTTTCAACATCACCGTGTTTTGATCAAATGATTTTTTTCTGAGGATACAGGAAAGTGACAAGATTTTGTTCATAAATAGGCGGTTTTTATTCACATATCTGAAACCTTTCACTACCTGATTCAATACAAAATTTGACAATAACAAAAAAAAATAACTCATTTGGTCAAAACACCGTGAAGAAACGGAAAATGTTTTTTTGAGTAGTGAGTTTCTGGATACTATGTAGATTATACTCAATAGACAAAATGTTTCTGCTGTATTTTGTAATTTCAAATTTTATAATAAAATAACTGAAATATATCTAACAACGTTCATGAGTTGCGTATGTGTATTAGATAAAGAAGAAGATAAAGATATCTGCGCTGTTGATTTCATTCATCTCATCGATCTCTGTTGGCTGTTCTCCTCATTTTTGTCTGTCTGCTACTTTTGATGTACCTATTCAACCTAATTCCTCCTCTACTTCTTATCGTTATAACTTTAAAAAAGCCCAGTGGTCTGAACT